ATGTTTTTTCACAGTGTAGAACCCAAACATAGAAACTGACCTTCGGCAGATTGGGAGTATTAGCTCTGACTTCCAATAATCAGTATAAATTTTTGTTTAAGTGAGAATAAATGAAGTTCACATTTTCTGCAATTTTACTAAAGTGAAGATCTTAAACCCTTAACCTCTCTAATCACTTCAAAATAAATTCATTTTTATGTTTATTGTGTTTACCCTGCATATTGAGTTTATTTTACATTTGTATAGTTCAAATTCCTTACAAAGTCTATTAAACTCTCTCCTTTTCTCATGTATATGTACTAGACTTCACAGAGAAATATATTAGTTGCTAAAAGACCAAATGTTTTCAGCAACATGAAATATTTGCTAGGTCTGTGGGTCTCCCCATGTCAAGTCCATCTAACCAGCTTTTCTTGAGGTTCAACAGTTTGTCAAAAGTTCTAGAATTTCCACAGTAGTTCTAGAATTTCTAAATGGAAATAGAGCAATGTGGTTGAGTATCGCTAGGGGACTTGTCTTGAAGGTGTAATTTCATAATAGCTATTTATCCAAACTCTATGTGCATTTGGGGTGGCACCATAGGCCAGGTCAAGAAAAACCTAACATTACTGTAATTAGAGACCATTTTTTTATGTTGCTTTAAAAAAAAAAAATTAGGCAACAATTTTTCTTCCCCTAAATATTATTGAAGAATAATTGACAAATATAATATTATTTAAAGTGGACAGTAAAAATTTATATATATGAATAATTACCAAGATCAAGACAATTAACACATCCATCACCTCACATAGTTAACCTTTTTTGTGTGGTAAGAATGCTTAAGGTCTACTCTCAGCAACTTTCAAATATACAATACCATTTTATAAATTATAGTCACCATGCTGTACGTTAGATCTTCAGAACTTATTCTTCTTATAACTAAAAGTTTGTATCCTTTGCCTTACATCATTTCCCTTCTTTCCCAGCCTCTGGCAACCACCACTCTATTCTCTATTTCTATGAAACCAACTTTTTTTTAAGATTACATATATAAGTGATAGTATACAGTATTTGTCTTTGTCTGGCTTATTTCACTTGGTATAATGTCTTCCATGTGTCAAATGATGGAAGGATTTCTTCTTTTTATAGCTTAATAAAATTCACACACACACACACACACACACACACACACACACAGTAGTCCCCCTTGATCCACAAGGGATATATACATAGTCACCAGTGGATGCCAGAAACCAAGGAGAGTGGCAAACCCTATATATACCATGTTTTTCCTATACATACCTACGTATGGTAAAGTCTAATCTATAAATTAGGCACCAAAAGAGATGAACAGCAACAATAATAAAATAGAACAATTATAACAATATACTGTAATAAAAGTTATGTGAATGTAGTCTCTCTCTGTTCTCCTCGATAAATGATCTGATAAAGGATGGGTAATGTATACAGCTCTGATCCACTGAACAAAGGAAGTGGAATGACTCAAGATTTCATCATGCTACTCAGAACCATGCACAATTTAAAATGTATGAATTGTTTATTTCTGGAACTTTCTATTTAATATTTTCAGACTGTGGTTGACCTCAGGTAACTGAAACCACAGAGAAGGTAGACAGTTCTTTATCCATTCATCCTCAAGAGATATTTAGATTGTATCTATATTTTGACTATTGTGAATATGGTCAAAGAACTATATTAAAATACATTAAATGACCTATAGTCAATGAGCTATTGTGAATGCTGAAATAAACATGGGTATTCCATATTTTTGTCAAGATACTGAATTAATTTCCTTGAGAGGCAGTCATTCTTCATTCTTCCACAGTCAACAACTCTGTAAAGGGACTAGTGTATTTACTAATAAGGAACTTGAAACTCTATTACCATGGGTGAAAATATTAAGTTATACAAAGCTCAAGTTTTAAAATAATTTTCATGAATAATTGTTGGAGTACCATCCACATGTGAAACAGAATCTACTGTAGATGAAATCTCATGATTACTATCTATGACTAATGAATGAAAATCTACTTCTTTAATTTGGAGAAACAGTGCTTTCCTGATCCATATCAATAAGTATTACATAGTGAATCATCTTATAAAATATAAATTTCTCTCGTTCCTAACCATCTAATTAAAAACCTTTGTAAGACAAAAAGCAATTTTAGCCAGTGCTGTTTGCAGGTACTACAACTGCTGAGCCAAATTAAAGCGGGGAGAGAAGGGAGAGCTGAGCAGGGATACAACACATGTCCTGCCCACAGTGATTATCTCTCTGTTCCTTCCATCCTTCACCTGTCTCCACAACCAGGTTGCTTAAACAGTGTTTCTCAAGTATGGTATGTGAGTTCTGAAAGTCAAGATAAAAATGTAAGTGATGTTTTTATTTTGATAATTATATAAAGTTTTATATATAAGCATATTCTGTATATCTGCCTTTCACTTGGAGTGCAGCTTCATCATTTCACTACCTGTTGCATTTGTCTGTACCCACATTGCAACCAAATGGTTCACTTTATTTGTTGAGGCTAACAACAAAAACACAGATGTGAACTTAATATACAAACAATATTTTCATGCCAAATGAAAGTTAGATAGATATCACTGAATGCTCTCAAAGCAATGGTTATGAATCTGTTTAAACACAGAAAAGTGGAGGAAATTTTGAGTTGTCCCTGAGCATATGGTGGTATAGGCATGCCAAAGTTAAAAGACCTGCTTTGTAGCAGCTGGTTTCATATTTATATTTTGAGCAATGATTCAGTTTCAGCAAACAACATCATCCATCACAGTAAAGCAATGTTTTAAAATAAAATTTTATGTTCTTCTTTAGCTTTGTTTGCATCTAATTGGTAATATTATTTTGGAGCTTATGGCAGGGACAGCTGTATGATGATTATGGGGTACTACTTCTCCACCCCTGCTACCAGTTCACAGCACCACTGGGCAGGACAAGAGAAACACACTATTTCTGAACTAGTACATGTAATTTTTCACGGTGTTTTAACCCAGGAAACAAAAATTAGTCATCATTTTTCTATTCTTCCCCATTCAACAACCTTATAAAAGGAGATAGTATATGTATTAATAAGTACAAAATTCTTGAACTTTAAAAATAATAAAAATGATGAACAAAATAATTTTAAACTACCTTGAGGAGGTTTGTGATCATTCTTTTTTGTTTAAAAGAGGCTATGGATTTCTCAACTTTAAGCAACACTGTTCCTAACTGCCCAGTATCTTTTAATCTGTCCTTAGTAGCATCCCACTTTTCCCTTGGAAAACCATTCTTCTGTTGCACATGGTTCTAGTAGAACTACAAAGCATGCTTCTTCTTCCTTCCTCCAAGTTATGAGCACATGACTCATTAGAAAAATCAGATTTTCTTTCACAGGAATTTGGATACAGGGTAGAGACACAAAGATAGAAGACAAATAAAACTGAGGTATTTCCAAGGAAAATGACTGAGTCTTCACTACTGAGATCTCTGAAGTAACAGATTTCTGTTCTTTCCTGAATCCTTGAATCATTTTATATTATAAGCAATACATTATCCTTTCTATAAATTTTTTGCATATGTTAATCAAAGTCAGTTTCTATTGGTCATCACCAAGAATCCTAACTGATGCACTAATCTAAACAAAACCAATCAAAATCATAAACATCAAAGACCAAAAAGTACTTAAGAGTTTAGAAGAGGTTAGAAAAGAAGCAGGACTATAAATATCCTTTTTTTCTTTCTTTGACTGATGTTGGATTCACTTATTAATATTTTTAAATTGTCATTTATTCAACTCTATCATATATTACACGTGACTAGTTCCTTGAAAGCATGAATTAAATCTTATTCATGTGGTATCTCTACAATCTCACAAAATGTTTGGCACACATAATAGGCAGTCAAATATGTTTTGAACTAATGAAAGTTTCAAAAACATAATAATCACTAAGTCAACAAAGTTTTTGTAATTCATGGAGTTTCTCTCTTTTTTATTGTTTAAACTATTACAGATGTTCCATTCTCCACCCCTCTTTGCCCACCTCTACCCAGCTCTCGCCCTCTACCCCCAAGCCCCAGAACAACATCACACTGTTGTCTGTGTCTATGGGTTATTTATGTATGTTATTTGGATAATCTCTTCACCTTCTTTTATCCCGTCCCCCCACCCCTCCCCTCTAAGTTCTGTCAGTCTGTTCCATGTGTCCATGCCTCTGTTTCTATTTTGTTAATCAGTTTATTTTGTTCATTAGATTCCACATATAAGTGAGATCACAACGTATTTGTCTTTTTTCTTGGGCTGGCTTATTCATTTAGCATAACAATCTCTAAGTGCATCCATGCTATTGCAAAAGGTAAGAGTTCCTTCTTTTTTATGGCTGTGTAGTAGTCCATTGTGTAAATGTACCAAAGCTTTTTTATCCTTTCAGATTTTGAAGAATGATCTTTAGGAAGGTCATTATTACTGTCATGAACATCATTTGCTTGCTACAGTAAGCTCCTTTAAGTCATAAAACCATTTTTGCTTTTGTATCTCCAGAGCCCTAAGTGCCTGGCGTTAAGTTGACACTCAGTAACTACTTGTTTAGTAAATTAATATATACTGAAATTAGATAGATCATTCTAGAACTTGCATGATATAAATTAAGTGTAACTTGAATTTGAAGACACTTTTTATGTGTCTTCACTTAAGTCATATCTAATGTTCTGCCCAAACTCTCTGTGTTATTTAACAAATATCCTCCTTAAGGCTATCAAGTATATCATACAGTAGCACCAGTTCTTCAAATCTCTAATAATATACTAGGTCTGTTTAGGTCTAAGGAAAAAACCATGGAACATTGAATATAAATTTAATTGGTAGCACCGACTCTCTCAGGAGTACGAGCATTATTAACATCATTATTAAGATATCCTGAAGTGCCCCTAAACACATCCCTCCGCTTCCTTCTCTCTCTTTCTCTGCCATCGTAGTGCATGTGGTTGATTCTCTTTCACCATGTCTTCTCACAAGACTTTCAGGAACAAAAGTTTCCTGGCCAAGAAACAAAAGCAGAATCGGCCCATTCCCCAATGTATTCGGATGAAAACTGGTAATAAAATCAGGTACAACTCCAAGAGGAGACATTGGAGAAGAACCAAACTGGGTCTATAAGGAATCACACATGAGAGATGGCTCACACATTTATGCTGTATCCTGGTTGCCAGCATCTTACCATAATCACTGAAAATATCACTACTGTCTGGACAGTTGGGCATTTTAATTGGGAAATTATTGGAGGCACGATTTTTCCTTTTCCTTTCTTTTCTGCAGTAGATTCACTCAGTAATAAATGTGAGACCTTAAAAAAATATGACATCCTGAGTCTGTGTTTTTTTTGCTGAAGCACATGATATAGAAATCACTTTAAGATATGCCTTGTATATTGTCCATATTGATGGTTATTTTATTTTCATATTTATTTCTAAAATGTATCAGAAAAATGAGTTGTCTAGGAATAAAGTTTATTTTTCTCTAACATTTGGAACTGATCAGGGCAACTATAAATTTGAGGAGAGGTGTGAAAGCAGAAAATCTGATTGTACATATTATGCAAAAAGAGAAGGTCAAGAATGACTAAGTAAGGGTACAGTGAGTCATCACTTCATAGCAGAATTTAATTGACCATTGCAGCTCAAAATGTCACTGGGTGACAATGTAAAAAAAAAAATCATAGCCATCAACTTGAAAATAAAAGGCTCATTTTTATCTCTTCTCAACAAGCATCAAAGGATGTTGACAAGTTACAAAAATTCAGAGAGCTAACCTCTTGGCTCCCCACAGGGAAAGCTAGTTTGGGTGACAACTGAATGTTTTAGACCCCATGCTAATGAATTATTTTCAATATAGTAATAATAATCTTAACCAAAAATATATCTTCAGCTACTTATATACAAATGTTGTATATTTTAAATTCATGTCATCAGTTTATTTCATTTTCATTATTTATTATCACATTATTGTTTAAAATAATAGCTTTTTGTACAGTGATTACTATGTCCCTAGCACTATACTAAGAACTTTATGGTAAGTATCTCATTTAATCCATGCAACAACCAAACTAAATAGGTGCTCTTAATTATCTTCATTTTATAGATGAGAAAACTAAGGCTTAAAAAGAATTTCTTAGTTGCAGAACCCGAGCTACCTTATTCCTGAACTCACACTCTTAGCCACATATTGTACTGCTAAAATAAAGAGTATGATCATGCCCTGGCCAGTTTGGCTCAGCAATTAGAGCATTGGCCTGCGGACCAGAGAATCCCAGGTTCGATTTCTGCTAAGAACATGTACCTCGGTTGCGGTTTATCCCCGGCCCTGGTTGGGGTCGTGTGGGTGGCAACCACTAGATGTGTCTCTCTCACATTGATGTTTCTCTCTCTCTCTCTCTCTCTCTCTCTCTCTCTCTCTCTCTCTCTCCCTCCTTTCTCCCTCCCACTCTATCTGAAGATAAATGCAAAAATGAAAAAAAAAATAGTATGATCGTACTATTCGAAAGCTCATTTTACCCTTAAGAACAGGAACAAGGCAAGGATGCCCATTTTTGCCTCTCTTATTTAACATAGTACTGGAAGTCTTAGCCACAGGAATCAGACAGGAAGAAAAAAATTAAAAGGGATCCAAATGGGAAAGGAGGAAGGGAAACTGTCATTATTCGCAGATGACATGATACTATACGTAGAAAACCCCAAAAACTCCATCAAAAATTTACTAGACTTACTAAATGAATTCGGCAAAGTAGCAGGATACAAAATTAATGTCAAGAAATCGATGGCATTCTTATACACCAATGATGAACTCACAGAGAGAGAAACCAAGAAAACAATCCCATTTACCATTGCGGCAAAAAAATTAAGAAACCTAGGAATAAACTTAGCCAAAGAAATAAAGGACCCATTGGCAGCAAACCACAGGTCATTGAAAAAAAAAAAAATAGCGGAAGATATAAAAAAAGTGGAAGCACATACCCTGTTCATGGATTGGGAGAATTAACATCATTAAAATGTCCTATTACCCAAAGCAATCTATAGATTCAATGCAATCCCCATCAAAATATCAATGGCATAATTCACAGAATTAGAACAAATACTTCAAAAGTTCATATGGAACCAAAAAAGACCTCGAATGGCCACAGCAATCTTAAAAAAGAAGAACAAAGTTGGAGGGATCACATTACCAGATTTCAGATTATACTACAAAGCCACTGTAATCAAAACAGCCTGGTACTGGCACAAGAACAGGCATATAGACCAGTGGAACAGAACAGAGAACCCAGAAATGGACCCAAGGCAATTAATATTTGACAAAGGTGGCAAGAGCATACAGTGGAGTAAGGACAACCTCTTTAATAAATGGTGTTGGGAAAATTGGACAGCTACATGCAAAAAAAAAAAATGAAACTAGACCATCAACTTACACCCTACACAAGAATAAACTCAAAATGGATAAAAGACTTAAATGTGACTCATGAATCCATAAAAATCCTAGAAGAAACTGTAGGCAACAAAATTTCAGAAATCATACGCAGCAGAATTTTCACTGACACATCACCTAAGGCAATAGAAACAAAGGAGAAAATGAACACATGGGACTACATCAAACTCAAAAGCTTCTGCACAGCAAAAGATACAATCATCAAAATGGAAAGGCTACCCACTGTATGGGAGAGCATAATTGCCAATGATATATCAGAGAAGGGGTTAATTTCCAATATATATATAGTGCTCATACAACTCCACAAAAGGAAGACAAAGAACCCAATTAAAAAATGGGTGGAGGAACTAAATAGACACGTCTCCAAACAGGACATACAAATGGCTAAGAAACATATGAAGAAATGCTCATCATCACTAATCATAAGAGAGATGCAAATTAAAACAACAATGAGGTATCACCTCACACCTGTCAGAATGGCCGCCATCAACAAATCATCAAACAAAAGTGTTGGCGAGGGTGTGGAGAAAAGGGGACTCTAGTACACTGCTGGTGGGAATGCAGACTGGTGCTGCCACTATGGAAAACAATATGGTGTTACCTTAAAAAATTAAAAATTGAACTTCCATTTGACCCAGTGATCCCACTTCTAGGAATACACCCTAAGAAGCCTGAAACACCAATCAGAAAGAATATATGTACCCCATGTTCATAGCAGCAGTATTTACAATACCTAAGGTCTGGAAACAGCCCAAGTGTTCATCAGTAGACGAATGGATAAAAAAGCTGTGGTACATATACACAATGGAGTACTATGCAGCTGTAAGAAAGAAAGATCTCTTATCCTTTGAGACAACATGGAGGGACCTGGAAAGTATCATCCTAAGTGAAAAAAGCCAAACAGAGAAAGACAAGTATCATATGATCTCACTTATTTGTGGAATATAATGAACATAACAGTCTGAGGAATGGGGTAGTCCCAGAGACGTGGAAGTGGGGTACAGACTGACAATCCCCAGAGGAGGGGGTGGTGGGGGAGAGATAAACCACAGAACTTATATGCATGTATGCATGAACAGTGGACATGGACAACGAAGCTGGGGACAGGGCAGGGAGGGAGGGGGAGGGGAGAATCAGTGGGGAGAAAAAGGAGAAACATCTGTAACAAAAATTAATTAATAAAAAAAATTAAAAAAAATTTAAAAACCTCATTTTAATGACTACTATTGTTAATAAAAATACTCATTTTATCTTATTGTAAGGAAGAACAGGAAAATGAAATTCTTGAAATGCAGAAAGGCGATAGCTTTATTGAGCAAAACTGCTGTAAATTTTTTTATCTTTTCAGAGTGTTACGATGAGCAATTTTTTCCTTTCTCTTTTTTTTTTTTTGTTTATATACAGTGGGAGGGAGAGAGAGAAAAAGAGAAACATCGATGCAAAAGGAACACATCGAGTGGCTACCTCCCGCAGGACCCAGCCATGGCCAGGGACAAACTGCAACCAAGGTACACGCTCCTAGCGGGAACTGAACCAGATTTCTCCAGACCACAGGCCAACCACTGAGCCAAACTGGCCAGGACCCATTAGCAATTTACATAATAAAATATTGTACCAAAGATTAGAGCAGAAGAGAAAAACCTCACACTCACAAAATCAAATTTCAGCACAAACTTTAACAAGTTTCAAACATTACATGGTTCAGCATAGTACTTTCTAAGTTTGATCATGTCTAATACATCCTAAATCTTTTAAATCAAGCACAATGTTTCCAATGGGCTTTCCTCAAGTCTCTAATTTGCAGATTCTTTTTAGACTGCTTTACATCAAAATCACTTTCGATTACCCTCATGAGCACTTTTGAATTCTATCTGGCTACATATTTAACACTTAGAGAATACAACCTCTGTTATTTGTACAGTATCTATACTTACTCAAGTCTTTTCACTTGTACAGAAATGGAGAAGTAAGAAGCACCATGAAAGTCTGACTTGCATGAAAACTCCATGATGGTCTATTGTTTATTTATCAATATCCTAGATGGTCATTTTTAGCATTTTGAGAAGCTTTATCTCCTTTTTTTCCTAATTCTTATTTTTGCCCACAAATAGTTAAATATGCAAATACTGTTAGCAGGCAAGATTTTGCATTCAGGATTTCCACAAAGATAATATACATTTTTGTGGGACCATTTATCCACACTCTAGTATCTTAACTTATATTTTAATCTAGCATAGCATTTTTAAACAGAAAGTAAAATACTTTATCTATAATTGTCTATGATTTCTGTATACTGAAATCTATGATTTCAACCGGTTGATCCTTTCACCAGGTTTTAGTAGCCCCATGATTGCCAGACAACAAGACTGTAGACCTGTATGGCACTTGACGAATTGGCTAGAGATATGCCCAAATGACCTCATTTCCACAAAACATAATAATTCATAACTTAATAGTCATTCCCAAAATGTGGTACACTTAACACTAAGTACTTAATACAATTTAGTTAGTATACAGAGAAACATTTTTAATTTTAATGGTAATGTGCTTATTAAATATATAAACGTACTACTAATACATCAAAACTGTGATACTATTATAACAATGAGGTTAAAATAATGTTTAGGTTTTGTTTTCTTTTTTTTTTTTATCCTCACCCAAGGTCATTTCTGCATTTATCTTCAGATAGAGTGGGAGGTAGAGAAAAACATCGATGTG